AATCTTGCGTAGTACCTATTATCTTATTACTATAGAGATATTACTGTAAGTTTTTAGATAGAAGGAACCTAACTGGGCCCGAATGAAAAAAAGAGGAGGTAAATGCAAAAGTATATTGGTTATACCAATTATTAACATATCGTGACTAAGATTGTCAAGTATTAGCAACTATGCTTTAATTTTTATTGAAAAAATCAATTTTTTTTACCAGTCTTGGTCTTGCAACAGTTAGGCGGTCTTGGTCTTGCAATTTGCAAGACCAAGACCGATTTTGGGCAACACTACTAAAAATACAAAGGATTTTGCTTTAGGATCCTATGTAAATGGAAATATTTCGTTATTATCATACTCAAAAGACATTGTTATATCCCTGGTTCAGTTTTTAAAATGGCCAACCATAAAATTGAACCATGATAACTATGAACATTTATAACATTTTAATGTTCGCTTTTGTTTCAGATGGATGAACTTTAAGGAGCAATGTATCTTCCGCTTCTCTTCGTTTTGGTCGCCCTACCACAAATACAAGGTAAATTTCTTTATAAAATTTATAAATATTCTCACACTCAAATTTTTATTAAACTGTGTCATAAAGTTTATAAGTTTATCGTAGTACCAATAGCCTTCCTATTAAACAGATCCATTCGACTATTTTTAATGAACTTACGGGATACAGATAATTAAGGAGCACTAAAATGAGTAATTTTTTCATTAAATCTGTTTCTTAATAACTATTTTATATCTTCTTCATAGTGTGCGCTTTTATGCTTGGTTCAATCTCATTCACTAGTTTTATAGGGTATTTAAGTTTCTCTGGTCTTATTAAGATTATAAAACTATTATTAGAAAAATTAATTTCATTATTTCTGCTTTTATTGTACTCAGTAGTAATAATTCTTGCATTTAGTTGATTTTTCTTTTTAATCTTTGACTGTCCTTTATTAAAAACTAAATATGTGTTCCAACCTTAGAATTTTTAATAATAAATTTTAATTTTTTTTTACTTAATTTTTAATAAAGTTTTATTAATAATTGAAACTGAATGAAAATTCTCATTTATCTTTGCCACAATATCTTTTTTTGACCGAATAGCAGCGATTATCAGTTTATTAACTAATAAATGATTTTTTTTAAACTATAATTTTTGTCATAATAAACAGTTTATAATTATTTTATTTTAGGCAATTTACTGTGGCTTTCAAAGTTTTAAGTATTGTTTTACTTTTCCAGTTCCTATTCTCCAATTATATATTGTTTACATGTTATATATATATATATATATATATATATATATATATATATATATTATGTTATTACACAACTTTATAAAAATTATTTATTTGATAGCCTTTTCATAGATTTTTCTATGAAAAATCATAGATATTCTATTCTATTCTTCTATTCTATATATATATATATATTTTTATTTTTTTTAGTAATGCATATTGATTGGATACTACTCGCGACACATTAATTTTAGTACTAATAAGTAATACTGTTAAACTTTCATATTATAAAAAATAAAATAAAAGTTAAAACGGTAGTAAATAAAATTAATAGTAAAGGTAGTAAATAAAATTATATGAAAACGTCATTAACGCGGCCATTAAATGTCTTTTAAACTATAAATAATTTTCCATTATTATTAGCTGCTATATAAAATAAATCTATTTTTAATCTTTTTAATAACATATTTCATCATAATAAATTATTGAAAATTTATTTTAAGTAGTCTACAGTTGTTAGTTAGGTTACAAGTTTTTATTTATTTTCCTGCCCCTATTATTCAATGTAATTAAAGTGCCAATCTGTAGTTACTTAGTAAACTACTAATATAATAATATTCTATTTACATATTGTATTTTCTTTATTTGATTTGTTTTTTATAAAATTGTGAACTTCCATAATTAAATAAAAAATCTCCAGGATTCTACATTATGTCTTTCTTACTTTATTATTTTTTCTTTTATATTTTGTCCCTATGTATTTCATTATTATTTTCTTTAGTTTTTTTCTCTTTGAAATACTATGATGACAAGTTGTTTTGCGACCTCAAATCCTACGAAAGAAAAGGAAAAAATGATATATATATATATATATATATATATATATATATATATATATATATATATATATATATATATATATAAAAGAGGTAAATAAATTTATAAAATAGATAGAAAAAGTTTGATTTTTACATTAATTATGATATTTATGATGATGAATCATTAGTATTACAGAGCCAACTGATCGAAATAGAGTCGATTGTGAGAATGAAATAAAATTGTTAGGAATTTCAGCCACGAAAATATTTATTGGATTAGCTATAATATTTATTGGGTCGAAACGTCGCCTATCCTATTATAATTAATACTGCCTTTAATGATTAATTTGCCTTTAATGCTTCTAGTTAAACAAAATGTTTAGTTAAAAAATGATTATTAGTAAGTTTTCTCTATTTGATTTTGTCCAAACCCATTATGATTCTTTTATGGATACTTATAATATCAGAGATAACATCACAAGAATCCTTAATCGCCGATTAGCGCGTAGGAATGGAGCAGTAATTTATATCGACGCCATTTGTTTTGACTGTGACTGCAGTAAAATGCGGTGATCTCAATTCCGTAAGAATCCCGGCCGTTATTTTAATTTCTTATTCTCCGCTTCCGTCATATAAAAGCCCATAAAAAAACTATTATACTAAAGCCATAATCTCGCCTTGAACAGTAGCAACTGTAATTTAAGGAGTCGGAGAATGCAATATAGAAATACCAACTGTAGACCGGCCCCTATGGGCTATTCTCACCGCATCTGAAATATTCAGTCCCATCCGGTAGGTGTGGTCTGGTGGTTCCTATGGTCTGTTGGTACCCCATCCGAGGTTTCGTCTAAATCTATTCAGTCTTAATATTTAATGGATGATTGTAATCAAAATTAAATTAGATGTGGTTATTTGTATGGATTATTAACTTAAATATGAAAGTAATGTGGTCAGAAATAAATAGTGGTGGTCAGTTTCAACAGTACAATTAAAAGTTAAAATCAGGGCTTACAAGGCAAAAAAAAAAACTTATATATTTAAAACGTTTCGGTATCACAGGAACTTTTATTTTTGATAGTTTTTCAGTTCTTTTTGAACAAGGTCTTTTCTCTCGCAACATTTCATGTAAAGATTTAGTTATTTTTAATAAAAGTTTATTTTTAAGATTTCGCCAAAAAGTATATCTAAAAAAAAAACTTTTATTCTTAGCTATTCGTAACAAACGATAAATTAGAATCATATGTGATTATTTTAAAAAAATTAAAACTCTTCCAACTACTGTTTATTTTTGGACTTGAACCTTAGAACTTTTATTTTAAGAAATCTTTTCCTTAAAAAAAGTTTCATAGGAACTATTAAAATGGATATTTTAAAAAAAGTTTCGTAACAGTTTCAACCTCATGTCTGAATATCTCACATTAAATTTCCTTTTTAATATTGATATTTATCAAATCTTTAATGAATAAATATAACAAAAATGGTAATAATAATTAAATAAAATATTTATGTAATATATTTTTTTTTAAAACTTATTCATTGAAAATTATTACAATCTGTCTCTAGGACATTTATAATAGAGTTCACAGATCACATTCACACTCTATGTACAATAAATAAAATAAATTATACAGAAAAATAATATATATAAAATAAATAAGAATAAAAAAACCTAAAAATAAATAAATAAAAAGAACACATACACACCTATATACAATAATATAATATTAATAATAAAATAACAACTTTATAAAAAGCATCCGAAATTACCAGTTATTTCTCCCATACTTCTTTTCTATTTTTAGCTGGTATAAAACAGGGGTACTGTAGATCCCAACGTTCTTCCATGGAAAATTTTATTATAATAAAAAAACATTGGAGGTTAATAAAAGTATATAAAAAAAAAAGACATTTATTCTTAGCTATTCGTAACAAGCGACGCATTAGAATCATATGTGATTATTTAAGACAAATTATAACTCTTATCTAATCCCAATTACTGTTTATTGTTTATAAATACTAGTTCAAATTTTATTATAATTCTGAAACTTTATTACAAAAAGTTCCTTAGAACTTTTATTTTAAGATTTTTTTCCCTAAAAGTTTAATTGGAATTATTAACATTTAACTTTTTAACAAGCTTCCGTAACAGTTTCCACCGTTTATCCAAATATCTCACATTAAATTACTTTTTTAATATTTATATTTATTAAATCTTAAGTAATAAACTAAAAACAATAGTAATAATAAAAATATTATTAATATAATATTAATAATAAAAAAAAACTAAAAAAAAAATAGATCCGAAATTACCATAGTTATTTTTCTTTACTTCTTTTTCATTTGTCAGCTGGTATTAATCAGGACTGTTGTATATCCTTATGGTCTTTCCTCACAAATGTTATAATAATTTATAATAAAAAAAAGTGAAGGTCGAGTATGGGTGACAATAGTTTTTTTTATTGAAATAATAAAAAATATCCCATATCAATGGCTGCATATTAAGCTCGTTGTCGACGAATATTTCATTTTAATACCCTATTCATTGACAGAATATTTAGTTTGTTATAATTAGGGTTTCTCTTTTTCTTCATGAGTGATTTATATTATTTAATAAATAAATATAAATTAAATATTTAAATTCCTCACAGAACATGTTTAAACACGTCAATGGTACTTTTAAAGGATTCACGTCTGAGAAGCCAATTTAATTTAATTATTATTAAATAATCTAAGTTTACTTCATAGTAATGATATTTAAAAACAACTACCAAACTCACCGTTGCCGAAAAGATATGCTACCTAAATTAATTACTAGATGCAGGGCCTTTCTAGGCATAAAAAATAACTAGTTGATTATATTTTTTTTAATATTACAAATTAATTAAAAATAATGAAATAATTTTTTTTATTTATATTTTATTTTTGTGCTGAATAAATATTTGTTGTGGTAGTTATTTTTTTTTTTTTTATTATCCGCGGAGGACTGCTTCAGCGTTGTTCAACCAAATATCTTTGGATATTATGTTGTTTCTTATCTCCATGTGTTTTCACTTTCTTAAGGGAACGACTTGACCGTATATAACTAGCTTTAGCTTCTTTTCTTTTGTCCTCAATTCGTCTGAGGATCAGCACCTGTAAGCCTCCTCAGAATAACAATGAGCCTACATCTTCAGGGTATTATTCAATCGGTGGCGAAGGTAACCCAACTCGACAGCCGGGTGCTAGGAGGTCTAAGAGAACCCTGGGACTATATATCACCTACCGTATCGAAGCGGCGTGGAATCGCCAGTGGGCACACCTGCCAGGTCAACCGCGGCTTCCCGGTCTCTTACACTTCGGCCAGCTCCTTTTCTTCTGCCTCCCCGGGGGTGCTCTGTTGGCTTCCTCGAAGTCTTTAATGGATATCTGTCCATCACGATGCCAATGTCGTCCAACAAAAGAGTTCTCGGTGGCTTCGTCGACTAAAATATCGTTACAAGGTTGGTTAAAGTCACACGGTCTAAGTATGATTGTTTTTATTCCGTTATTCGTTCCGCACTCTTGTACGTACCTAATCTAGGTGTGTAGAGATAATCTGTAGGTAATCTAATTTTTATTTTCGAATTATTATATAAGAAGAAGTAGAAGAAAAAGTCTTTTTATTAATCAAAATTACATAATATAAATTACAAAACAATATTTTTGGATTTAAAACCGAAAATGAGACATGCTACATGGTCTGTTGACCGTCAGAGGAGTCTATGTTTTATAACAAAATTATATTTCAATCTATTTATATACCACTAATTAATAGGAAAATAAGAAAAAGTATATTTACAATGTAAAAGTTATATAAATATTTTATTTACAAAAAGAGTGGTACCAAAATTCTCTAATTTATTAATTGCTAAATTCTTTGGTGAGCATTATTCTATAGGAGAAAGCAGACTTGCAGTAATTTACCAATTGTTTCCATTTATTAAATCTATTACTTGATTCCGAGATAAATTTCTAGATATTAACCATTTAATTCTAAATTCAGAGAGTATTGGACAAGCAGCAAGGAAGTGATAGAGATATTCTGTTTCGTTTGTATTGCACATTCTACAAATATTATTTGTTTGCTTGAAGTGTTTATAATTTAAGTTCAAAACATCAGCTCAAATTTTTAGTTACTCATCTGATCACCTTCAATGGGCTTTTGCCATCAATATAATTTACTGAAGTTAAATGAGGATAAAAAGTGAAAGTTTTAGAATTCTGAACTTTAATTACATATTGATTATATATATCTTTCTGAATTTGATTTCTTAGTGAATATAAATTAGCTCTACATAGTTTAACATCATCACTGTTAGATCGATTTAAGTTGAAATTTAATCCATGCAGTTCTATTAGATTAAGTAAGTCGCTAAACAACGAGATTTCTTTTTTAATTGTGAATTATTCTTGTTATAAATTAAAAATAAATTCTTGAATTGAATTAAAAATAAAAAACATTGAGATAGTTGCTGGGAGTTATATTGATTGTGAGTATCAAATACACTATCCGCTTGCTTGTAAAAAGCTCATGCTAGCAGATTTGATACCCACACGACTAAGACTATTGTCTCATAGTCTCTCTTCTGTTCCTAGATTTCTAGCTTTATCATTTCACTCTATTGAGAATTAGAAGTTAAAATCAAACCGCTTATAATCTTTTTTTATTTATTATTATTTTTATTTTATTTATTATTATTATTATTTTTTTTTTAAGAAACAGTCAATTTTGTTGTGAGTTACTTGTATGAAATTACTAACCTATCATCATTTTTTATAATTTAATTCCTTTCATAGATTTTATTTAAATTCTATATAAATAATTTTAAATTTTGCTGAAGACGTTGAATGAAGAAGTTCAGAAAGTAAGTTTTAATTCATATTTCATATTGCTGTCCAAATAATTAAAGTCCTCGGTAGTTTCGGCAAAGAAATTGATATTTTTTTAAAGTTTGTTTTCAACTTATTTTTAATTGTAAAAAAGAAAAAAAAAACATGCTAATTTGTTTTCAACAATTTTTTGTTAGGGTATCCTAATGTTTAATTTATGTGATGTCTCAAAAATATTACATTTAGTGAATTATTTTTTTTTTTAATATTTAGTCCGATGAATCTCCTTAGTTTAGTGTCCTGAGATTTTTAATGCGAAACTATTCTTTTTATTTCATCACGATTTTTTTTTCTTCTAATGATAATAAATCTTTCCCCTAATGGTCTAATGGCTGGCGCAATGTGATTTTACGACAGGTTTATACAGAGCTGTGTGAAATTAAATTTTAATTGAGGGAATAGAGAAGGTAGACGTTAACCTGAAGCAGTAATATAAAGCAGTGGAGGACATTAAGCCCCTAATCCTGTATTCATTAAGTACTGGCTAATACCGCTATAAACCTCGGCCCAACAGGATTTGCTAAGTCCTAAGCCCTCTCTTGGTGTTACCGCTCTTACTATGCGCTTTATGGCTAGTGTCCTTTATCGAGAATTATTAACCTCTTCCTTTATGTAATTTATTTTCTGCCACAATTTGTTTTCTTAGTTATATGCTGTATTGATAAATTGTTTTGTATCCTATGGGTCGCTAACAAGCAAAATATGGTACACAAACGTTTGCTGAACGATGTGATGACGTAAATTTATCTGTTTTGCATTAATATTTTTCACTTCCACTTACCTATATGCAATACATAGTAAAGAAAATCATTATCAAATCCGAGTTTTCAACGGAAAAACACGTTTTGAGATTCGTTGGGTAAAATAATCAAGTTCCACCAAATAATCTGTATGTAAATATGAACAACATAGCTGAAAAACGGAAGTCTTAAGAAACTGAAACTTCACTAAAACCGACTAACCGGAAGTGATATTTTATATCATCGATTTTACAATTATCACAATAACAGTTTCAGCAAGTTTGATTAAAATCATTATGCCAGTAAAAATTAAGTTGTTTTGAATATTAGGTTGGTATTGTTTTCAATATTGTAGTTTCACTTGGCTTAAATGCTAAAAATTCCTTCCTCTAAAGTAAATTTTATTTTATAAAATAATTAATCATGATATAATTAATCTTTTTTTTTTTCAACATTCCTGTATACATTTAAAGTTTCCGAACTGGTAGCCTTGCATTTTGAAAATTATAAATTTAAGACACAGTAATAACAAGGTGTTATTTAGTAATATTAATTATGATACTAAGTAATTTTTTAAAATGATACTTGATAGGTATTAGCACTTCACAGTTTTGTTCTGTGTTGTTTTATTCGTTAATTAATTTTCGTATGAGAATGATGAAGGATGGAGTTCATGTAGATTCGGCTCTGGAAGCCTTTGTATATTTTAAGTATTTTTGGTTTATATATTTTTTTTTTTTCAATTTTAATTTATTATTGAAGGAAGCTAGTCGACTATTCAAGATATGTAGAACAGTATAAATATTTTTAATATTAATTTTATTCTTTAAACCGTGTTTTTAGATTATATTCCTGAAATCGTTAACCATTTATTTAAACGTCCTTGTTAACTGTTAACTTATAATTTTCTAATATTTAATGTTTAATTTTAATGGTTCTTGTACTTTTTAATATTTACACTGTACTCTTTAACTTCGCTTCACTTAATATTAATTTTTATTATTTAAAAATGTATTTTTCAGCTTTTATTCTTAAAACCATCAACCTTTGTGAACTTATCTCCTTTTAAATCTTTTTTTTTTTTTTTATTATTTTATTGGAATTTACAACTGTATTATATAGAAAATACACTAAGTAAATATGAAATTGGTAACATGACATGTACAACATGAAAAGGAACTACCCATTGGTAGAACTCAAATAAGTTCTATATTAGAAGATCCCGAGGTCATCTTCTTTTCAGACGCCTCGGAGAGTTATCAGGGATCGAGGAGGAAGCAAGGTTTGAAACGAGAGGTTTCGGATGGTTCTGCAGTTTGTTATGGAAGGACAGGTTTAATGGAGCCCCAAAGCTCAAATCCGTAATTCCAAATAGGTCTTATTATTGTCATATATATGAGCCGTTTATAATTGATTGAAAGCTTAGATCGTTTGTCTAGTAAGTGCTGCAGTAGTCGAAAACGTCGGGCGGTTTCTAGTCGTTTCAGTCTTTTAAATCTTAAATTTTCAATGTTTATAATTTTAATTCAATCTTACTATCGTATTCATCTGTAACTATTCTAAACTTTCCAACTTTAAATTATATTTGCTAGCTGTAGTTTTGTTATGTGTCTACTAATGGATCAAATTGTAATATAGAGCAAAAATCACCAAGGTGGTTAGAAGAGCCCAAACATTTATAAATAAATAACGAGTTCTACATATCATGGGTAATTTTAATTTATAATTAGAAATTTTCTCAGTATTTTATTAAATTCATATAAAACCATAGTAAAGATACATATATTTCTATATTATATTTCGTTTACCAGATTTAATGTTACGCCATTTGGTCAGTATATTTTTTTAGTATATTTGTAAAGGAAGTTTATTTTCACTTTCACTGTATATTATGCTTCTACCAGTAGTATTATTTTATTATAATCAGGCGCTGATGACCTAAATGTTTTGCTCCGCCTGATATATCAAAACAACCCCAATCAAATAATGTATGAAAAGACCTATTTTTACTCAAAATAGGGTGTGATGCCCGTACTGCACCGGTTTTTTGCGTTGTTCTTTTTATAGTCATCCATTTTGTGCAGCTGTTTGCTTTTTAGGATTTAATGAACTCACCACATTTTCATGAAGGAAATGACGGCTTCCCCCAGGATGGCCACCTTCCGCCCTCGGGCCCCTACAACTCTTGGCACTCAGTCCCCCAGATGGGGCGGACACCCCGCGGCCCTCAGGTAGCCGAAGATATCCTCCCGCCGGACACGACCTGACGTTTCCATTACCTCTGACTTATCGGAGCAGTTTTTCTCCCCAGAGCATCCCCCCCCCCTCGTGCATTTGTCAAGAGCTAAGTGTTCGCCGCACACGTGGTTCACTGCTGGTCGCCACCTGTTGACAATTTGTCAACGTCTCCTTTCCTTTCTTGAGGAACTTTTCAGTCCGTAATTATCTGCTCTATTCTAAAGGTTCCTGCTTTTCTAAAGGTTTTGTTGCCGGGTTTGTATGTTTTCATTTGTTTCCAGTTTTGTTGAAGGAAACATTGAATGGACAGGTTTCTTTATTTAGCGTGAACATTTTACTCGTTTTTTAATTAACCGTTTTCTTCAATGTCCGATGCGTTAAACTCTATTTATTGTGCAATAAATAACTTATTTATTTCAAGTTCCAAAAATAAAATCTGTTTACGTTCTAATTAGTTAAATAGTTTTTCAGTTCTTTTTGAACAAGATCTTTCCTCTAACAACTATTCAAGTAAATGTTTAGTTATTTTTAATAGTCTATTTAAAAGTTCTGCCGATTTCGGCAAAAAGTATATGTAAATAATAACTTTTATTCATAGATATTCTAACAGACGAAACATTAGAATCATATGTGATTCATTTAAGACAAGTTATAACTTTTATCTAATCACAATTACTGTTTATTTTTGATAAATACAGGTTATAGTTTTATTATAAACACGGAACTTAATTACTTTATTACAAGAAAATTCCTTAGAACTTTTATTTATCAATGCCTCTTAAATATAGCATACATTTTTATAAATATTTATTTACTTATTTAAAAAAAGGTGAAATGAAAAGTATTTAACATTAGAAATATTTCATATACAACTTGAACAAAATGGTAGAAATGTTATAAATTTAGAATTTCTATATTATTTATTTATCTGTGCAACAGAGCGGGTTGTTTAACTACTTTGGCTCATTTTAGCCCTCAAAAAATTTAAAATCACAAATAAATTTAAATTACAAGCGATTTAAAATAAGAAACCTAAATAAATTTAAATTATACTACTAGCTTACAATATAAATTAAATAAATCAAAGGTGCGATCATAAGGAATGAAAAAAATTACAAAACAAATTAACTAAAAAATAGGATTTCTAACAAGTTAAATATTGCAGGGATAGGGGTTTTAGGGTAAATATCAGGGGTTTATTGATTATATTGTCTGTCTACTTGATTTTTATTAAACTATATATTGTTTGAAAATAATAAACAAACACATACCACTATGATCTGTCATGAAGATTTTAGATTCATTGCATTGAAAGGAAGTACTCATTTTAGGTCAACGGATGTGTCAGACAGAAGGTGATATGCCTGAGATCACGCTCATCCGCCAGGATTTTTCCATCCATTTATTAATTAATTAGTAGTATCTACTTTATAGATGCTGGATGTGACCCGTAAGGGTTTCCCGACCCTAGGATAGATTTACAGCTGTTGTAACAAAATAAATAATTATCTGTTTCAGGCGTACTCGAAGGTACATGAGAATAAGGAGCACAATGCCATACTCTCTCAGCTACTTTGCTCCGCAATTTTCTTATGACTATTGAAAAATTAATTTCCGAAATTTCCTTGAAATTCCAATTTCTTATTTCTTTTTTATCTTTATTTTGTCAGTTGTCTGTATATTCTTTTCTCTACCTTTTTTTTTTTTTTTTTTTTTACTTTAGTATTCCTCTTGCTGAAACTAAAGCAGCGATAACCCACTGTTGCCCACGGTGTTGCAAAAGGGACAAACCTAGACCATTGTTGAGCAATCTGTTCTACCCCGGCCATTGTGCCATCTGTGTTTTCCCGAGGCCTCCAACGTCTAGACTTAACGTTTCACGCTTTGTCACCCGCAGGCTTTGGGTACCGCACGACGATTTGCATACGAAGGGGTGCGAGGGATAGGCGTCAGATCCGGATGAAAAGGAGAGAAAGGGAGGAAATAGGACAATGGGCCAGGAAATGGGTGGAGTCCTGGGATTCCATCGCCGATGTCATGCGTTCTTCGTATGGCGAACATCCTGAGAACACAATGCCGTTATGATATCATGGTATCCATACAAGTGTCGACATTTGTTTTTCTCTGGCTTCGAAGAATATTGGATATAATAGCTATGTTTACATAAAATCAGTTTTTAATATTTTTTTATTCAATGATCTAATCTGGTTGTTTGTACATCTTTTGGTTGCTGTGATGGAAATAATAATGTACCAGAAATAGATGGTTTTGAACTCACTAACAGATAATGTGCTTTATAAGAAAGTGCAAATACGAGTTGGTCTGCAGCTACAACATTTAAAAATGTAATGCTTGAACCTCAGTTGATATCATGTCATATAACAATAGTCGATTGGCTGTTAATATCTTAATGGAGCAAGGGATGCTTTCGTCTTTCGGGTGTTTCCTTATCACTTTCCTTTTGGAGATAGTTTGAAATTTTGATTCTTTCATCTGTTTTGTGTCTTGTATTTGTTTAAAACTGTGAAGAATATATTTTAATTTTTTTTTAATTATATGAAAAACCTGTTGATCTCAAAAACCTAGGTGTCCATTAGTGATGCAAAATAAGCTGTCAGAATATCCCAAGTTTTTCTTAAATTATAAACTAATGGACTGTATATAAAAACAAAATCGATAGAAGACTAAATTTGCTGTAACTTAAACCCATTTCCAAACCGTCTGAACTATAGTTCACATTAATGATGAAAAGTGTCTTTTACCGGTGCATTTACCATATTCCAGCTTTTAATTTCCATTATTCTTGTATAATTTTTGTTTTAAATGGTTCTTGTTTATATAGTTCTAACTAAGGTAAAGGAACCGTCAACAAAAAATATTTTTATTTTATTAACCTTCAGGTAATGGGAAAACCTGAGTGATTCAAATAAATTCGAATAAATCCTTCCAAGAATAACGGACAATAATTGTTTTTATTTATTTCGGTTTTCATTTGATTTCAGTTCAGCAAATTCTCAAATTAAAAATGTTCTTATCTTTAAAATGTTGGATGTTTCTTTCTTATCGAACATTTACATAAATCATTATTAATTTAGTATGAAGACCTTTTACAATCATAAAATTCATGGAATATTAAACTTTTTACTATGTTATATCTTTTAAAATCCCTGATATTCATTGGGAAATTTTTTTCTCACTCCTTCGACTAATTTAAACGATTTTAATTGCTGGTAATAAAAAGCAAAACAACCTTCATCAGATTCATTCTCTCTTATTACCTTTCAATTTCTTTCCCCTTTCTTTCTTTATACATAAGTAATTAAAGATTTATTAACACGCCTTATGTTTCTTTCGTTGAAGTAATTTACTTTTGATGATTAATTTTTATTTACAATCTTTAAAAAAAAAAACGTACTGGTGATTCATTTTTTTCTCTAGGAAAATTTTTACTTTATTTTTGGAGGGGTCCTTTGATCCTAAAATAAGCCTCATGGATTAATTATAATTTTTTTTTTTTATTATTTTCAAATTAAACCTGCAAAGCAATATTTATATTATTGATGAATGTCATATATTCATCACCTATTATATAATTTACATAAGAAGTGGAGTCTTAAAAATTGATATATTAACAAACGAAGTGATTGAAATTTATTTGAGAGCATAGGCGAGACTTACGGAGAAGGGTGAGGAGAGAGGGCCAATAACCCCAATAATTCTATAATACTATAATAATACTAGTTTTTTAAATTTCTAGAAATGTACCTATCTTATAGAGGCTGAGCCCCTTCTTCTCATATTTAATATACATAAATTCTTATATACTCTATTGTTTTGTTCAGATATTTTCAAGTAAATCCATAAGGAAATGAAAAAAAAAAAATCCTAAAACTGTATAAACATATATATAAATTTATTTTCAAATATCCAATATAATATTTGTTCGTTTTACATTAATTATGCAGAATCTGTACTTATAATATGAACCACCGCCATATATATATATATATATATATATATATATATATATATATATATATATATATATTATATTTATTTTTAATCCTAAAACTGTATAATTATTTACATACATTTATTTTCAAATATATATATATTTTTTTAATTTATTATTTTTTTTTTGGCCCGTCGCCATGGAAACCGTCTATGTTTGAGATATGTGTGGATGTGTGCACTATTTTAAAAATTTTGGGAACTTATTTTTTTTATCTAAAATACTTCTAGAAGGAAACCATCTGAAAATATGACTTGTCATTTGCCAGTTAGTGATTTGGAAATGATGATTTTCTATATTTAAGATTTATTTAACTTCTAAATACCTCGGTGCCCACATCAATGAACATGGATGGATCGACGGAGAAATAAAGGAAAGAGTGAAGTCTGCAGGAAGGTGCTTCAACGCCATCAAGCAAGGATTCTTGAACAAGAGAGAAGTGAGTAAAGAGACCAAAACGACCGTGTCCAAAAATACTTTCCTCTCAATAATGACCTACTCCAGGGAGTCATGGACCCTCACCACAAAGCACATCAGTCAGATTCAGGCCATGGAGATGCGATTCCTGCGCAGAGTCGAAGGAAAAACAAAGAGAGATCGCATAAGAAACTCCATAATACGGACAAATTTAAACGTAACAGCAGCCGAAACGGTGATGTAGGAAAATCGTTTGAGATGGTTTGGTCATGTCTCTCGAATGCCAGAAAATCGAGTGGCCAGGATAGCGTTGGAAAGCAAAGTTGAGGGAAGAAGACCTCAGGGACGGCCCAGGAAGAGCTGGGAGGCTAGTGTCAAGGAGGCCTTTGACAGAAGGGATATTGACTGGAGGAGGAGGCGGCAGTTGGCTCAGGATCGAGAGTTGTGGATTCGGCTCTACAAGAAGGCTCCTCACACCGCTCAGCGGTAGAAGAGGAAATGATTAAGAAGAAGAAGAAGAAGATTTATTTAGGATAAAATTAATTTTAAAAGTACATTTTTCAAAATAAAAAAAGTAGTAGAATTAATTTCCTACCACCTGTTCTGGTGAGCATTCGTTTAATAAAAGTCGAGCATGTAGACAAAGAAAAAATAAATAAAAGAAACAGCAATTGTGGGACAGAGAGAGAGAGGATGTGAAGAAACGGAGAGAGCGATGTAAATATTTCCCAGCAAAGGGACTTCTTATCGATACAAATGGAGGAACTGGATGAACCCGGCCTCAAAGGAGTTGGTCTCAGATAGGCATCACTAATTAATGGAAAACAAAAGGAAAAGGACACGGAACGGGAAAAAAAGGACGGACGTCTTTATTTGAGCCGAGTTCAGGATGTGGAGGAAATTGCTTTGCCCTGTTTTTTTTGTTTTGTTTTGTTTTTTTCCTGTTGATTTACAATTGTGGCTTCATTATTTAGATTTTTATTAGTTTAACGATTTTCGTGTTTTAAGGTTTCAATTTACCTCGTGGCTTTATACTCTTATTTTATTTTTTTTCGAAAGAATTTAAATAGATCAGCCAAGCTCTTAATGCTAATGAATACGTTTAAAAATATCTCTCAAAAAGAATTTATGATCTATTTTAAATATGCTGTGTATTTACAAAATATTATATCAATAAAGGAGGGGTGTGAATGTGCTCTCTGGACACTATTATAAATGTCCTTAATTGTGACAGATTTTTATATCTCTCAATAAATATGTTTTTAATAAAAGAATAGATGTATTAAATATATCTAAAGGTAATTTATAATTTGAATAAATTCAGCTTTCAAAAGAATAATCTGTACCCATAACAATTTTTTTTAGTCCTCCTTAATTATTTTTGAGGACATTGTCTTTTTAAATTTTAAAATTAATATTTTCTTAAATCACGAAAAGTATGAAAATAATCCAGGAAAAAAGTATATATTCAATGGAGTTTAATAATGTTTTAGTATGTTCGGTGTAACGTAAGTCTTACATGTTTTATTATACAACATTGTATACTTTTGTTTTATTGTCACATCATATTTTTCAAGATTTTTTAAAATTATATTTTTCACTGGAAGTGAAAATTAAATATATAATTTGACTAAATATAAACTTGAAATGTTTCGAGTTAAACTTGTTAAATGAATTGACACAAATTAGTAGATCCTACATCTATATATCTACAGATGTATTGACTGCTCGAAAATTTCGATTAAATACAATTTAAAGCTTGTATAGAATTAATGTAAAATTTCAGATAATTAAATTGATCAATTTCGAATTGTATATCATATGTTACACAGATTTAACATCTTGCAATTCCTATGTATTATTTCTAAAAGGTGTTTTTTTGTCAATTCTTCACCAAATCCAATGATTGACCACTAATTTTGAAAATATTCTTCTGCTTCACATGCGAAAAATAGTCCCATCCCCCCGAAATCTCTGGAAAAAAAGCTATGAGGGAAAAGAAACTTTATTTGCGAATAACTCAGAAATGATTACCTATGAAATTACGTTACTAAAAAAAAAAAATCGTATAGATCGCACAATTATTAACAAAGATACAGTCCATTAATTTTGGTGTAATTAATAATGTCTTTCTGTTTAAAGATATTGCATTTAGGAGTAGAATAGTCTATTACATTTTTTTCCTGGTTTTATATTAACTTTATTATTTCTTAAAGACATTTGGTTGTTCTTACATTTTATTTTTTTTAATAATTTAGAATATCCTATGATCTGTGCATTATTTGGTCTTTACTTGGTGCATTACTTTTATTATATTTCCAGTCAGCGCTTAAAAATAGGTCCTAGCAAAACAATTTGTATAAATATTTTGGTCTATTATTTTTAATGGAATATTGTAATCGACTAAGGAAAAAATATTAATTCCTTCCTTACACAATACATAGGAACTACTTATTTCCATATTGTTTTGCTATTTCTTCACTAAATAAAATTTTCTGTGAATTTTTCGCTCGGGCCAACTAATAAATAAATAAAATTGTCAAAGGTTTTCAAAGTTCAATTCTATAGGTGCTGAAGGCAATATGCTCAAAGAAATTTTGTGATTTACAAAATTTTTCTTTCCGAAGTCAGT